GATCATATGGTTTTTTTCCTTTTTCTTATTTATGTGCTGGATTACATTGATTGTTTGCTTGCTTGGCCTGGAAGTTCATTTTCATGGTAAATTGTGAAGTATTAACTTTCTTTGGGGTTACCTTATAGTCTATTAACTTTTCTTTCCATTTAAGAGAATCTATTGAATCCTATAATCTACCTGACATCCTCACCACCTGGATCTCTGTTGCTACATTTGTCTCTTCTTTGACATTGATATAATTTTGATCTTTGGTTGACCTCCTAGCTCCTTTGAATTTGTTGTTGTAGCTTTGTTCTGTTCTGGACTCTTCTGTCAACTGAGTTCCAGCTGGTGTTGCCACACCTGTCAATCTCTGGTTGTTGTCTGTTCTTGTTGGGTTTCAGTCCAAAGAGCTCCCTTTAGGATGTTTTGAAGTGCTGGATTGGTTTTGATAAAATCTCTTAGCTCCTGTTTATCCTGGAATGTTTTGATTGCACCATCATATTTGATTGATAGTTTTGCTGGACAGACGATTTTTGGTTGGCAGTTTTTTTTCTTTTAGGGTTTTGTATATGTCTCACCATTGCCTTTTTGCCTGCATGGTTTGTGCTGAATAGTCAGAGCTTAATCTGATTTGCTTGCCGTTGTAAGTGACACTTCTCTTCTCCCTGGCTGCTTTTAGGATTCTGTCCTTGTCTTTGATTTTGGAGAGCTTGATTATGATATGTCTTGGTGACTTTCTTTTGGGGTCTATCCTTCCTGGCGTATGTTCAGTTTCTTGAATATTTATCTTCTCATATTTCAAGATGTTAGGGAAATTTTCTTCCAGAAGCTCTTCAACTAGCTCCTCTGTGGACTTCTCTGATTCTTCCTGTTCCAGAATGCCAATAATCCCTAAGTTGTTCCTCTTGATGTTATCCAGCATGAATCTTAAGATTTTTTTAATCCTTTTTTCAGCTTGCTCTTCTATCTTAGCAGTATTGAGAGATTTGTCTTCTAGCTCACTAGTTCTGGCTTTCATCTCTTCAGTTCTGCTCCTTTCCTCTTTCAGTGTATTGTCAATTTCTGGTATTTTATTATTAATCATCTGGACCTCTTTTTGCAGGTTTTGAACTGTTTCCATTGCTGTATCAATCTTGTTTGATTGTTCTTGTAGTACTTTCCTGACTTCTTCCTTGTTTTCCTCCTCCCCTTTTCAGAGCATTTGAATTTGTTTTCATATCATTCTTCTGAATTCTTTCTTAGGCAAATCCAAAACCTGCTCTTCCTCTTCTGGGGAGCCTTTGTCTATCTCCAGCACATTTGTCTCAGTTACTCTTTTCTGTTTTTGGACAGAGATCTTTTGTTGTGTTTGAGATCTTTTGTTTGTCATTTCCAGTAGTTATATGTTTTGTTTTGTTTTTTAATGCTTAAATGGATGTTTGTTGTTGTGTTATTAAGCTTATTGGTTGTCTCCTGGTGGATATGATCAGGAGATAGGCTTCCCTTTTCACATGTAATGCTTAGCAGCTGTTATTGGCTCTTGTCTCAATGGTGGAATATTATGGGGTATGCTTGTAGCTTGGCTATATGACCATGATTGCTGTCTCTTCTTGGGTAACGTAGGGAGAAAAAGTTCCCACCTCCAAGAAAGATGTGTGATCAAAAGGGCTAATAGCAAAAGCAATATAAAAGCAGAGACAAAAACAACCACTTTGAAACAAAAACAAAACTGTGGCCGAGTGTCCACAGGCAGTGTGTGTGCATGGTAGAAACCTCCATTGGTGGGGGTGTCCATTCGCTCAGGCCCCTCCTCTAGTCACCACCATGGAGATACATGGATAAATATTGAGAAGTTAATGGGAGAAAGATTGTCCACTATTTTTGTCTCTGAAGGTTATGTGTGTGCACAGCATAATTCTTGAGGTAGTTGCATCCTTTTATGTTGAGGTTTTACAGATTGTTCTATGGTTTGTCTGTCAGACCTGACGTGCCTGCTTTTTTCTTGCTATATAGGCCTGGTAAGGGTACTGCACAAGGAGCTCTGGAAGTGCAGTGGTCACAAAGGCCAGGCTCCTGTAAGCCATCCCCAGCATCAGTTACGGCTGGATGCCCTGGCCTCCCACCCCATGCAGAGCTGCCTTGTCAAGTCAGCCTGGGGAGCCACACTGTTTCGTTATCGGGAAAACTAAGTGAGACCCGACCTGCAAACACAGCAGTTTGCAGGGTGGGGTAGGAGGAGCCCTCCTTCAGGGCTTTTTGCTGGATTGTTACTTTCAGTTGTCCTTGACAGCCTTATTTAAAATTGCACCTCCCTCACACACATAGAGAACTTCTGTCCTCTTTCTCCTAGTTAATGTTTTCATCGCACGTATCACTCTCTAATATACTGTTGTTGTTGTTGTTGTGAAGTGCTGTAGAGTTGGTTCTGACTCATAGCAACCCTGTACAGGGTTTCCAAGTAGTGGCTCGTGAGTTTGAATCATCAACCTTATGGTTCAAACTTACCTTGCAGTCCAGCGCATTATCCTACAGCACCACATACCAATAATGTTTTATTTATTATCTGATTTATTTCATTAGAATATAAACTCTACACAGGCTAGGGTTTTGTTTAGCGCTGCACTCCAAATATTTAGTATAATGTCTGACTCTTAGCAGGTATTGAATAACTATTTGTTGAATAAATAAATGAAAGATATTGAGGAGATACACTAGCTTTTTAGATGCAAATACATCAGCAAAATTTTATCTAGCAGACTGCTAGGACTGCATGCTTTCCTGTTGCAATCTTGGCCTTGACCACCACGGCCACAGCCAGTGCTGACTCCAATAACACACAGCAAGAAGGGTAGTACATACAACTCACTGTCGGAAGAGTCCCGCCTACAACAAGACTTTAAGCAACCATGGCCCTGAGAGACCTCCAGACCTTTCCAGTATCTGTACTTACAGTCAGTATCCTTTGGACCTACCACATTGTGGTGTTTACCCCCAGTAATTTCTACATCCAGCTGTTCCGTGGGAGAAAGATGAGGCTTTCTGCTCCTGTAAAGATTTACAGCTTCGGAAATCCTGTACAGGGTTACACACTACCACCACCACCACAATACAGCGAAAATTTGTAGTTTTAAGCCATCCTCAGACAGCAAATAAGTACCTACAAGGAGCTGAGATCAAACCACAAAATATTCTTAAAGTTCTTTCCTAAAAGTTCACAGCATCCTCAGACCTTCCTGATCTGCTACCGTCACTCTTGGGCTCCCCTCAAATGTAAACACAAAGGGATAAGAAGGTTATGTGTTCTCTTTTCTTATGGGCCATAATAACTATTTCTCAAGAGTTAATAAGAGAAGTGAGTCCTGGTGTGGTGCTGTAGTATAAGCATTGAACTGCTAACGTCAAGGTGGTAGATTAAACCCACAAGATGCTCCCTGGAAACCCTATACCAGGTTGCTATGAGTTGTAACTGACTCAAGGGCACTTAACAACAAACAACAGTAAGGGCGATGAATGGGGGGAAATGTGTCAGTGATAAAGGGGGGCCTTTTCATACCCAGGACAGCTACTGTGCTCTGCATTCTCACCACCATCTCATAGTAACAGATAAGAACCAGTAAAGAATTTGAGGTTCTACCTCACTTGCCACTCATATCTGAAGTAACACAAAGTAGGCATTGTGTTTTCACCCAAGAAAACGGTCTGACTCAGATTACATTACTTACCCAGTGATACACAGGGTAGTCAAAACAGACCTTTGGACATCTTTCTGGGATTCTTCTACTTACATCATGATTGCTTCTCGCCTGTCCCCATGAAGTTCTAGAACGTGTCTGTAGATCTTTCCATGCTCTCCTTGCTTCTTTTCAAATCACCCGAGAAGCTTCTCTGGTATTCTAGAGCAAAAGCTATGTATGCTTTTGGGTGAGATTCTATGTTTTCAGGAGTCTTAGAAGCCACCTCAACCTTGTGTTTCTATCCCTCACCTCATTAATTTCTCAAACATTTATCAGCATTTTCTGAGTGCAAAGTATTGTCTTGGGTACTTTAGATCTACAGATAAAGTCCCTGACCTCCAGAAGTTTAGAGTGGAGTAATGAGGAGTTGGTGGAAAGAAATCAAGAATGAAATCCAGTGAAAGATTTCAATTAAAATTTGGATGAAACAAACAGGAAATAGTATATATAGTATGTTGTTGTTATGTACTGTGGAGTTGGCAGAAAGCCTCATCTTTTTCCCGAGGAACAGCTCGTAGTTTCGAACTGCAGACCCTGAGGTTAGCAGCCTGATTCGTAACCACTACGCTACCGGAGCTCCTTAGTTAAGAACATGGGTTTTTGGGTGTTGTAAAAATGTCTAATATTTGACTTTGTATTGAAGTATGTCTATCTCTCTAATTATTTCTGTCTACTTCTGGTAGATCCTTCATCCCCCAAATCGCCATAGTTCATGACAATATGGGGCATCCTGGTGTGGCGCTGTGGGTTAATGTGCTGGACTGCAAAATTGATTTGATCCACAAGGTTGGCGGTTCAAGCTCACCAGCTGTTCCTTGGAAACCCTATACAGGGTCACTATGAGTAGGAACTGACTCAACAGCATTAACAACAACAACAGCAACAATGATAATATGGAGAGTCCTGGTGTGGCCCTTTAAGATAAGCAAAAGATTAGCAGTTCAACTCCATCAGCCACTCCTTGGAAACCCTATACAGGGTCGCTATGAGTCAGAATGGAGTCCTGGTGTGCACTGTAGGATAAGCACTTGCTTGCTAACCACAAAGTTGGCAGTTCAAACCCACCAGTCATACTAGTCATACTAAACAGGATTGCTATGAGTCGAAATCGACTCAACCGTACTTAACAACAACAACAACAGAAGTTGGACATAACTTGATAGTACTTAACAACAACAACAACATGGTATTATGGTATTATGAGGCACCAATAAAAGTGGAAATTCCTGGGTGGTCCCAAGAGTTCACATTCTTGACTGCTAAACAAAAGGTTGGAGGTTTGAGTCTACCTAGACAGTCTCTGAAAGAAAGGCCTGCCAGTCTACTTTCAACAAAGCACCTACTGAAAACCCTCTGGAACATAGTTCCACCCTGACACACATGGGATTCTCACGGAGCAGAGTTGATTCGACAGCAACTGGCTTAACACGTAGTAAAAGTAGGGATTCAGAAGTGATGCTGGCATATATCTCACAAAGAATGGCATATCTTTGCAATAATAATCTTTGTATCCACAATATACATCAACATTATTAGGATGGTAAGTAACTAACTCTGAAAAGGAAGTCTCAGGAGACTAGAAAAAATCTTCAATGACCAGGGAGAGGTGAATTTGTTCATTTGACTTTCTGGGGAGAGTATAACATCATCCATTCAGCAGAATGGCTTTCACAAAAGTAAACCAACTTAAAGATACCCTGTTGCTCCTTTACGGTTGATGTTGTTACCTTTTTCAGAAACTTGGCAGATTGAACCCTTTGTGCGGTAATAGAATTCACATCTGAAATTGCTATATCCTTCTCTATTTGGCTTTCATATTCCTAAACAGAAAATTAAGTCAGTTTTCACTTACTGAGTGTAGTAGAGCTCAGACATGACATATTGTAATAAAATATTAAGTATTCATTTAAATTCATGTATAAAAGGACATTGGCAACACTCTGGCATTGAGAGATGCAAACATTCCTTACAGAATCATCCACTAATAATTAGCTTATCACTCTATTCTGTTTGATTCTAGGATGAGGTTCATTTTTCATTTTAAGTAATGAGTAAGAAAAAATTGTGATTGAGTAAACAATGAAAAAATGAGAAAAAAGTCTTTATGTTCTATCTGGTGTCAGTTATTTGGGGCTGCTGTGACATAAACACCTTGAGGGGATGCCTTTTGCAAACAAAATGATTCTCTCACAGCTTGGGGGCTGGAAGTCCAAATTCAGGTTGCTAGTTCTAGGGGTTAGAGCTCTAAGGAGCTCTGGTAGCGTAGTGGTTACGAATTGGGGTGCGAAGCACAAGGTCAGCAGTTTGAAACTACCAGCTGTACCACAGGAGAAAGATGAGACTTTTTGCTCCCGTGAAAATTTACAGCCTCGGAAACCCTGTACTGGATCACTATGAGTCGGGACTGATTCCACGGCACACAACAACAACAGTTCTAGGGGAAGACGGGTTCTTTCTGTTGACTCTGGGTAAGGTTCTCTTCTCCTTTCAATACCTGTGGGCCTGGCATTCCTTGAAGAGCTTTGTGTGTCATAGCACCAATCTCCCCCTGGGTCTAGGAGGTTCTCAGCATAGGAACCCTGGATCTGAAGGATGGACTCCACCTCTGACTCTCCTTTCATGGTGGTCCTCAGACCCATCTTTCTCTGCTCAATTCCCTTTCCTTTTATTTCTTGTGAGATGAAAGGTGATACAGGTCACACCCCAGGGCAACTTCCATTACTTTGGATTAGGGCTGTGACCTAAATGTTGTTGTTGTTAAGTGCCGTGGAGTCGGTTCTGACCCATAGCGACCCTGTACAGTGTTTCCGAGGGTGTAAATCTTTACGGGAGTAGAACGCCTCATCTTTCTCCCGCGGAGCGGCTGGTAGTTTCGAACCGCTGTGCTTAAGGTTCGCAGCCCAATTCGTAACCACTATGCTACCAGAGCTCCTAAATAAGGGCATTGTATTTCACCTGAATCCTTTTATAGCTGATTGGCTAATCACAGCAGATCATGGGGGGTGGTGGTGGAATAATTACATCATTACATAATAATCAAATTACATTATTGCATAATTGACAAACCACTTTACACTGAGTTGCAATTCATACTGGAGGCTGGAGTCTTTGATCTTCATCAGTATTTCAAGTTCGCTTTGTTTCCAGTAAGGAAGGTTGTATCATTTGCATATGGCAGGTTGTTAATGAGTCTTCCTCCAAACCTGAGGCCATTTTTTTCTTTATATAATTCTTTATATAATCCAGTTAACAAGATTAAGTTTGATCTCTGGGTTGAGATGACGACAATTAGATTTCTCCATTGTAAGAAAACCGTTTTCTTTTGCAATAAAAAGTAGCTACAGTGGTTATGAATCAGGCTGTGAAATGCAAGGTCAGCAGTTTGAATCTATTAGCTGCTCTGCAGGAGAAAGATGAGGTGTTCTGCTCCCATAAAGATTTACAGCCTCAGAAACCCTGTACAGGATCGCTATGAGTCGGAACCGACTCCACGGCACATAACAACAACATTTGTTTTAAAACATAGGTACAATATTCAATGGGGAGTTCTGGTGTGGCACTGTGGGTGAATGTGCTAGATTGCAAGGTGGATTTGAACTGCAAGGTCGGTGGTTCAAGCTCACCAGCCGCTCCTTGGAAACCCTATGTAGCATGGCTGAGTCAGAACTGACTCAATGACACTTAGCAACAACAACAACAACAACAACAACATATTCAATGGGAGTCCTGGTGTGGTGCTGTAGTATAAGCACTGGACTTCAAGGTCGGTTTGAACTGCAAAGTCAGTGTTTCAAATTCACCAGCTGCTCCTTGGAAACCATAGGGTCTCTATGAGTCGGAACTGGCTCGTCAGCACTTAACAACAACATATATACTAACTATAATTGTTACGTTTGAGTCTATTTTTGTTGCCACTGTGTCAATCTGAGGGTCTTCCTCTCTTTCGCTGACCTTCCACTTGATCAAGCATGATGTCCTTCTCCAGGGACTGTTTCTTTCTGAAAACATGAGAGACAAGTCTTGCTTGTTTCTAGGGAACATTTGGTGGTACTTCTTCCACCAAAACAGATTTGTTCATTCTTCTGGCAGTCCATGGTATATTCAATATTCCTCACCAACACCATCATTCAAATGCATTGATTCTTTCATGGTCTTCCTGTTCATTGTTCAGCTTTCACATGTGCAACTGAAATACCATTGCTTGGGTCAAGCACACCTTAGTTTTCACAGTGATATCCCTGCTCTTGAACACTTTAAAGAGGTCTTTTGCAGCAGATTTGCCTAATGCAACATGTCCTTTGATTTGTCTGCTGTTTTCCTGGGAGTGGGAAGGGAAGCCCCCGTTTGTAGCATTTGCTGATTTATGATGAAAATACCCTTCCAGCAGCCAATTACAAGCACTCAATGTAAAATCACTGAATGTGGTACTAAAGAGATGCCCACAATAGACGCTCACTAGCTGATGCCAGCCTACTCCATCACACTACTGAGTAAGATGAACTTTTTTTGTCTTCACCTTTTAAATTTCTGAAATTGGCGTGTGCCTTGTAATCAAGATGTAAATTTAATTTGGTAGCGTTTCTGCCACTTACCCTCAAAAGCTGCTTTTAAGTTGGTGATGCATTTTACAGTTAAAAAATATTTACATAAATTTAGAATATAGCTAATGGATTTTGACCTTGAAATACATTATTTCAATAACCTAAATTGGAAAGTCAAGCTCAGAACTTGACTGAACTTCAAAAGATCTATACCTTTTATATGCCTGAAAAGAAAGGGGAAATACGCTTTTGGATTATTAATTTTTTAAAAAGGGAAGAAAGAAATTAAGTGAAGATAGGATTATTGATTTTTTTTAAAGGGAAGAAAGAAATTATGTGAAGATAAAGCAGCAAAATATTAACTTTATCATACAATATACCATATTAAGGTAAAAGCCAGGTACCTGGAAGACTGAATCTGCAATCTCTTGATCATAAAGGGGTATTTGTTGCAGAAGGAAAACATCTAATTGACCTGCATTTCTAAGTTGCAATAGCTGGAAACGTTTGCTCTTTTGCATTTCCTCTTCAGAAACAAAATTAAATTCATCTTGCAACTGTTCAAGACGAAAATACTTTGGAATGCCCTGGGCCTTATGTTTCATGTACTGTAAAATAAATGTAAAGTGGATAATTAAAATGTTATTTTTAAATTCAAGAATTATTTCTAAACACTGATTTTCACCTTGAGTGTGAAATACAAGAGCTGCTGCACTAAAGCAAGAGATGGAACAACTGAATCCACCCAGAGACAGAAGCTGCAAAAAATATAGGATGCAGTCCATATGGCTTCTCAACTTTTTCCCAGTAAAGACTCATATTTTCAAAATCATAGTATTTATGTTGCACATTGGATTAAAAGATGAAACTGTTCCTATCTGCTTGCCCTGATGGCTGAGAAAGGGTCATTGTTTCTGTATACCTGTAACCAATCCAACACATCAATTAGGAAGCTTTGAAACAGCAGAGATCAATTCCAGTAATGTATTATGTACTGCCCATATTCAACAAACGCAAATGCGAGTGCATGCCACATGTAAGATATAGTGCTCATTACCATCAGAGAAGCACACCGTTATTAGCTGTAGTGCCAACAAGGAAAGATAAGACACACAACTGAATAGCTACAGTAAACAGAAGAAAGAGATTAGTAGAGTCACGAGCTTATTAAAACAAAGAGCCGACAGGAGGGCATAAAAGGGAGATCCTTTATCTAGATGAGATTACTGGGGAAGCATTCAACTATCATTCAGGATGGATAGGACAGCCACTAAGAATGCACCTCTAGGCAGAGGGAATGACATGAATAGAGGTATGAAGAAATATGTTCAGAGCATGCAGAGCAACTCGGTTGGCTATAAGGAAGAGTATGGGAAGCGATCAGATGATGGCGTCTTTGAAGGAGTGGGTGTGTCCATAAATCATCTTTATATTCCTCTCATTTATTAAAGGCCAGCACTCAGTAGATGTACAGTAGATGTTTGACTGTTGAATTTCTAATGCCTTTAGGATGCTGAAAACTAGGTGAAAGTTATTTGTCCTCAGATTTATCTTTATATGCCCTGTACTGCCTAGAAAACCCCAGCAAACTATGGTGGGATATGAAAGGGGAGAGTTTTGTTGTTGTTAGATGTCGTGGAGTTGGCTCTGACTCACAGTGAACCCATGCAGAGCAGAACTAAACACTACCCAGTCCTAAGCCATCTTCATGATTGTTACTATGTTTGACCTCATTGCTGCAGCCACTACATGCATCCATCTCATTGAGGGTCTTCCTCCCTTCCGCTGATCCTCTACTTTATCAAGCATGATGCTCTCCAGCCACCGGTCCTTCCTAACAACATATCCAAAGGATGAGAGAAAAAATCTTGCCATCTTCACTTCCAAAGAGCAATCTGACTGTGCTTCTTCCAAAATGAGTTTGCTCATTCCTCTAGCAGTCCATGGTATATTCAACATTCCTCACTAAACCATAGTTCAAATACACTGATCTTTCTCTGGTGTTTCTTATTCATTGTCCAGTTTTCACACACATAGGAGGCTACTGAAAATAGATGGCTTGGGTCAGGTGCACCTTAGCCCTCAAACACTTCAAAGAAATATCTTACAGCAGATTTTCCTAATGCAACACATCATCTTTGATTTCTTGACTGCTATTTCCCTAAGTGTTGATTGTGGATCCAAGTAAAATAAAGCCTTTGACAATTTTAATCTTTTCTCTTTTTATCAGGATGTTTTTCATTAGTCCAGTGGTGAGAATTTTTGTTTTCTTTACACTGAGGTGCAATCCATACTGAAGGTTGTAGTCTTTGATCTATAGTATCAATAAGTATTTTAAGTGCTCTTCACTTCCAGCAAGAAAGGTGGTGTCATCTGCATACTGCAGGTAGTTCATGGGCTTCCTCCAGTCCTGATGCTGCATTCTTCTTCACAAAGTTCATCTTCTTGGATTATTTATTCAATACACAGATTGAATAAGTATAGTGAAAGGATACAACTTTGGCACACACCTCTCCTGATTTTAAACCATTTGGTAACCCCTTTTTGTGTTCAAACAACTGCCTTTTTTTTATTACGAATTGAGTTTTTATTGTGAATTGAGTGATAGTTTACATGGGAGAGCATCAGCTTTACATTTATCCTATCATATTTCGTTTCATTGCAATGATTTCAATTCCCTCTATGTATCATCATTCAACAGTATTTGCTTCCAATCCTTCTATTTTTTTGTTTTTTGGATGTATACCAAAGCACTCAGGAATATACAACCACTCCAATAACCGAAGGTTATACCCTGCATGCCAGTCTCCCGCCACCAGCACTCAGACCCTCTCCTTCCTTGAGTCTAGAGTCCCCAGCCGCTCTGTCTTTCCACATCATCGTCTCTGCTTCCATCTCTGGCGTTGCTGCTTCTCTGGATAGGGTCCTGAACACCGCTCTTCTCTCTTGATGGTCCCAGAGTCCTCCACTCCTGGACTGCAAGGTCAAACACTCCCATCCATTTGTTACAAAACATCTGCCTTTACATTTGCAACAGTCATAATCAGTCCTGATAGCAATTATTCACTACTGAACCACAAGAGTCTTATCCCCATCTCTTTTCACCAGTCCCATCTAGACAGGTTGGAAACCACTCAGTGGAGATTCTACCTTCCCCTGAACCCTCTAAAACTAAGCTCCCTCTTGAAAACATGTAAGCCAGTTACTTCATGGCTTTGTTTCCCCCCCACCCCCGCATTTTGGGTAGCCAATGTCTAAGTTGCCCATCCCTGTCAATGCTGTGCACAGAGGTGGTGTAAAGATTAAATCCCTCTTTTAAGTGACTACATCCATAAGTATAGGTCAAATTCATCAAACTGTAGCAGATTACACTCTTTTTCTTCTTTCTTCCTCTAGTCAAGTTCTGATCATCCAGTCATTGAAGCTAAGTCAAATGGGTTACTATCACCAAGTATGGGCATTCTTGAGCTTCTCCCCTCACTTCGCATCAGATGGACGCTTCACTCTCCACTCTAGTCCTCTATGACTATGTTCCTGTCCATGGACTCAGGAGTTCCTAGGTCTCGCTATACTGCTGGCCACCCAAATCGCGATCCAGGTTGACAGGAGTTAGCTCACAGCTTCATTGCTCTTTTGTCCCCACTTCCCCTTACAGGTAGACCAACGTGGTCACCAGCAAGATTACATGCCTGTTCGTGTACTCCCTTTGAGTTTCAGTCTTGGAAGGGGGTTAGCCCTGAGGGGACTTGATTGCTTGCCTTGATGGCTCCTGGTGAACAACTTGCTTGTTATTGTAGTAGTCAATCTGACTGCCATTATTTTTTATTTTTCCTGCTGGTCTTTCTTTCAGGAAGTATCTTCTGTTACTCTAGCTGCTCCAGGATGGTCTGCTTGTCTTTTCAAGTGACAAACAACTGCCCTTTGGTCTACGTATAGGTTCCTCATGAGCACCATTAAATGTTCTGGAATTCCCATTCCATAGTTTGTTATGATCCATAGTTTGTTATGATCCACAGTTTGTTATGATCCACACAGTTGAATGTGTTTGCATAGTCAATAAACCACATGTAAATATCTTTCTTGTAGTCTCTGTTTTCTGCCAAGATGCATCTTGTGTTAACAGTAATCTCTCTTGTTCCACGTCCACTTCTGAATCAGGATTGAATTGCTGCCAACTCCCTGTCAATGTACTACTTCAACAGTTTTTGAATTGTTTTCAGCTACATTTTACTTTGACGTGATATCAATGATATCGTTCAATGATATCTGCTTTCCACTGAGTTTCTTTTTTTGGAATGGGCACAAAGATGGATCTCTTCCAATACGTTGGCCAGGTAGTTGTCTTCCAAATTTTTTGCAATAGATTAAGTGAGAATCTCATGAGCTGCATCAGTTTGTTGATAATGTTTGTGGCTGTTTCTCCTCGTTTTTCATTGTGTACTATCAGCCAATCAAGATACCCAAACTTTTTTCCATCTATATCATTAACTCTACATCAATTCTTCTTTGAGGAGGCAGCTCTTCCCCAGTCATATTTTGAATGCTTTCCAGCCTGAGGGGCTCATCATCTGGTACTATATTTGACAATGTTCTACAGCTATTCATCAGCTTTTCAGTGGTTAATCTTTCATAAGTAGTCTGCCTCTCCTTCTTCCTAGTCTGTCTTAGTCTGGAAGGTCCACTGATATCTTTCCTCCATGGGTGACCCTGCTGGTGTTTAAAATACTGGTGGCATAGCTTCCAGCATCACAGCAACACACAAGGCACCACAGTAGGACAACCTAAGGGTACAGTTATGGAAATACATTTATAATTTTGACATTTTCTATAACTTACCATAATAAATTCCATTAAATCTGAATGTTCTGGATTATTTGGATCAATTCTGACCTCATTTGCCCATTCAAAACTATTCTGTGTATTAATGAGCCATGGAATTCCAGGAACACTTCTTGCATCTAGATTCCTGAAAATACTAACATAAAGAAAATACTTTGTAAATTTTTATGCAACATGCAGATGATACATCTCTTAGATGGTAGAGTATTTAAGGATATGAACAATGGAGGGTTCAGATGTGTTACTCAGTTAGAATAACTGGTACCATGGGTTTTTGACAAATGTCTACCTTTCGTTAAGGGAAAGTAATCTTCTTAATGGTCAGACCCCAAACCCACTGCCATCAAGTTGACTCTGACTCATAGTGACCCTATATGGGTCAGTCTGTACATTTGTACAGGAATAGAAAGCCTCGTCCTTCTCTGCAAGATCGGCTATAGGCTGCCAACCTATAATGCCCTAGGTCAAGTCCATAAGTATTCATCTTTGTTATCTTTACTTTGTAGAGTAAATAACCCAAGCCCACTGACTCCATTCCAACTCACAGTGACCTTAAAGGACAAAGTTGAACTTTCCATAGGGTTTCCAAGGCTGTCAGTCTTTATGGAAACACATAGCTACATCTTTCTTCCAAGGAGTGTTGGGTTCAAACCACTGACATTTTAGTTAGCAGGTGAGTGCTTAACCACTGCACCAACAGAGCTCCTTAAAGTGGAGTACATGCTTAGGGAATAGTAGTGGATGAATGTATTCTGTAAATAATAAGCAT